ATATATATGTTTTAAAATTACAATATTAGTTTTTGAATTCTGACAATTGGAAAAGTTTATGAAAGTAGATTTGTTTAGAAATTAAATTGATAATGCATTTCACCCTTTAAAACTTCATAAGATCTGAAAGTGAAAATGCATGGATAAACAAAAAAAACAAAAAAAAAAAAACAAATCTTTTACTTTCAACACATTCTAAAGGATTATATGAGGATTTACCCTGGATCCATTTTCAGAAAAGCTAAATAAATTTCTTACTTTCAAGCCAGTCTCATAAGGAGAAGAGGATTTGTCTTTAATTCACTACAGGAAAGCTTGGAAAATACATTAAGAACTTTCAACTCAAACTGAAAGTAAACAGAAGGTACTAGAATAAATGTTAATGACTTTTTTAAAAGTTCCTCATTTTCTTTCATTTTTAGTTCTGAGAAATGCCAACTTAGAGAAAAACGACTATGATTCATTATTAAAACATGTACACACAAATACACATATATAAGCAGCATATCTTAATTTAATCATATTTCATTAAATAATATAGACATCTTATGTGTATTTATTTTTTATAATAATCCTTTCTAGTTCTCTAATTAGCTTCTTGATGTTAAGTTGAAATTCATCAAGGAAGGTGGCGTAATTTTTGTTATCCCAAGTACATCCAGTCATCATCTCCGAAATCATTCTCAGGGATGAATTGTAAAGACAAACTTAATGTAACTGTGATTGTTGTGATGGTGATGTTTGTAAATATGTGTAAACACACTCTGCTATAATTATTTTAAAATTTAAAATTTATCTATTGTACCTATAACAATATTTTTTTGTAAACAAGCATCCCCAATGTAAGGGAACTAATGAGAGATTGTAAAAATGCAACATGACGTTAAATACACACACACACACGCATATATAATGTATATACCGTGTATAGTTCTTATTTAGTTCCATTCAGTTATTGCTCGTCCTGTTTTCACTGCATCCAAATACACACTACAAGGCCAGGGATTGAACTCACAATTACAATGTAACCAAATTCACAAATCAATGCTTTAATTCACTAGGCTATGTACACATTTTTTTTTATCAATTGATAAAATCAATTGATAAAATGAAGTCACCTTTAACGGACTTAAAATTGGTTCCAGCAAACAAAAGAAGGCCTGAGTTAGCTAAACAGTTTCATAAACAGTCAAAAAATGCAATTCTTGATCAGGACTGTAGTAACAGTCAAAAGTACTCAGATTAAAAAAAAAAAAAATGAACTTTGGAAAGTTAACCAATTGTATAAAACAACTAAGTCAGAAGTTGTAAAAACTGACAGAGACACCTTGCTGGTATTTTTTTCTACATACATGTGAAAGCATGTGTGATACATTGTCCTTGTTACCTGTCACCAAGGATGGTAACACAGTTTCAGTAGCTAAGGCGGTACTACCACCTCTGGTGCCACCAGCAGTTTGGCCACTGAACAGGGTATTGTTTTTGTGTAGACAAGTCAGTCTCTTGCAACTTTTTTTACAACTGCAGGTCATATTTTCAATTTTGTGTTAAAAATATTTGCTTTTGTTCATTAACCAATACACAATGTGATCGTAGTGACCGTTATCAATAACATAGAATGGAAGGTAAACAGATGTGTTTTATGTCAGAAGTATTGTTCAACTAAACCTTTTTAAAAGAATTCTTGCTGCTTAAATAGTAGTCGGCATCCTCTCGCATCTGAGCATTGGGATCATTATCCTCTCTACTTATTCTCTTTCTCCCCTCTGGTGGAGGTAGTGGAGATGGCTCTGATGGCCCAGCCAACTCTTGAAGAGTTGTAAGCAGGAGTGTGGGTGGTGGACGTGGATGGGTGAGTGGGACCCTCATGTCACAGTTCCTCTTCATGTTGATGATTAGACTCGAAAATCTCGCCCCTGCCCTGCAGATGGTCCTATACCAGAAAGGCTGATTTGCAGCAACAGTTTCCCAGGTCTCAAGGTCAATGTCGGCTTGTGTCAGGGATGTCTTTAACTGATCCTTGAAGCATCATTTTGGGCCTCTGTGTAGCCAAACAGGATGATACACAGGAGACAAGTGGTCTGCATTTTGGACAGGCTGCCTAAATACACCTTTTGATATATATATATATATATATATATATATATATATATATATATATATATATTTACATATATATATATATATATATATGTGTGTGTGTGTGTGCATGTGCATGTCTCTCTCTCTCTCTCTCTCTGTATAAAATCTGTGTAAAACTTTTGTCTTTATCCTTTGTATTAACTGTGCATCTATAAAGTAATTCATTCTCAAATATACATGTTCATTTTTACCTGCTTTTGTAAAAATATTTAATCTTTCTTCAGTTATTTAAAGTTTTAACAAGAAAATATTTTTATGAGACTTTCAAATAGTATTTTCACTTGTTTTATGAATCTTCTTATATGACTGCAATCTTAGGTTAGTATGTTAGCAGACTGATCACATGGAGAACATTGATTATTGCACTTTTTTCTGTTAAGGCATCTTTCTTATTTGTTATTGTTTTTGCAAAAGTCAATAATTTGTTTCTGTGATCCTGATGAAAGTTGCATTGTGATCATCTTTAAAAAAAAGAAGGGAAAATTTGATGTAAGCACATTATTGAAAGGTAATTCCTAAGAATCAGCTTTTTGACTTTCTAATGATTCTGTCTGTTGAGAGATGATTTGCCTAAGTGATGAAATAAATACTTGTTTAGCACAGGCAACTGTAAAGAAAAAATATGATTGAAAAGCATTTTGAATTTCTGTTTGGTCATTCAGCAAATGTGGAAGCATTGTACATAGAAGAACCAAAAATAAACCAAAGACATACTTCATGTCTAAAACAGGAGCAACTCTGCTTTAAAGAAGCAAAAATCAACATCTGGTAGCAAAATGGTAAAAGCATAATAAATTAAGTTTCTTCCACTAATCTTTGAATCCATCATGCCAGATTATTATCAGTGAAAACTTTTGAAATATAGTCTGAAGAAATATACTTTTTAAATATAGTTTGAAGACATTTTCAAAGTTTAAAAGTACCTATCCTTTTAAAATATAAATGTACAGATAATAAAAAAATGAAAGGTAATATTTATAGCTAATATTTTATTATCTATTTGGCTTCATAAAACCTAAACTCTTCAATCTTTTCATCTTGTGGACATAGCGAGTAAATTGAGGCAGAATTAGCAGGATATTCATTATTTTTCTCTTGTATATCAACTAATTTTACTCTTTTCCATTTTGGGAAATAAATTGTCTTTATTAGGCAGCAGTGTTTTTTTTCACAATTGAGGAATACTTAAAAGTAAATTCTCTCATTTAAATAGTTTTGATAGTCTATAAAAATTAGGCAGTTTGTAGCACATATGTACAAAGGAATCAGGATTTAATAATAATCAGATTTTGGCATTAAATGACTTAGAAAATGTCATTATCAGTAGACTGAGATTGTTAAAGTTATTTACCTCCCATTTAACAAGCTGAAATTAAAAGTCATCAAGTAATATTATCAGGGTCAAGAATGCATGAAACTATGAAAAAAAGTGAAACAAAATTCACTTGTTCTTTTAGGAAACTAATGTTTAATAAAGTGAAAATTCTTGGATAATTCATAAGAATAGCTTTAAAGGATTTTCTTGCAATCTTCATTTTTTAAATACACATAGACTCAGATAACAGCGTTATTAGCCAAGTGTTAAATCCTCTCATCTACTCGTGAGAGTAATTGACTGTTTCCTGCTTTTTTTTTTTTTAGAAAACCAAAGAAAATGAGAACTCTCCTCTGACTCACTAACTGTGAAGACTTTTTTGTCTCTTGAGAATTAAAATTTAAAGCCTAGCAATTTTGATGATGTACCATTGCAGAAGAATCCAAACTCCACATTTGAAAAAAAGTAATTAATAAAAACCAAGAACTTTCACGTCTAATCTGAATATTGAAAACCAAGAAACAAAAGAAAAAAAGCAAAAACAAACAAAAATTTTAAGGAACTTAAATTTAAAGAAGCAAACGTTTTTAAACATTTTGTGGCCCTTTTGTTCAATTATCTACTCTTGACGCATGTATATCCCGCCAGGCGTCTAAAAATGAAAAATAATATTACCATGGCAACCAAATTATTAGCATGCCGTCAATATAAATTAAAAGGCTTAAGAAATATTTAATTTAATTTTCATATATTTATTTTTATTTATTTATTAGAGTATTAATAGGTTTTTCGATTTTGTTCACAAGCTAAAAACTAAGGGGCTATATTCAAGTGTTATTTGATATTTAAATGAATCGTTGATTTGTAAGAGGCTTATCATTAAAACCTACATTGAAACATTTGAAAATAACTAACGTTGGTAAAATTCCTGGAAAATTAAAGGGAAAAACTCCAGCCGATCAGCATTATCTACGATTACACTCGTCCTTACGAATCAAGAGTACATGTCAAATATTGTGGTCCGTGCGGAAAGGTGTGTGACGGTCACGAAAACATGCAAAGAATTCAGCCTCGCAGTCAGGTAAATTTGTATCCCTTTTTGAGCATTTCACTACCCTACATTTAACTCTTCACGTTTCAATAACAAGTTAAAATTATTTACTTCAGTATTTGTTTCTTCCAAAATGTGTTTCTTTAATAAAGTAATTGGTTATTTCAGTAACTTGTCTGTGCGTTCTTCGATACTGTAAGAAGCTTATGTCAGGTTGTGGGCTTGTTTCTGTGTTTCTTATTATTGCGAGAAGCTGCTACTGTAAGTTTTTCATATTTCTTTCTATTCTAATTTAGGTACTTCAAATTTGCAATGTATTTTTATGTGGCTAATTTTGCTCATTGATTTTTGCAAGTAGCATATAAATAGCAAAACATTTGGCTTACATTCCTGTTCAGATGCATTTGAGATTTAAATAAATTGATTATCTTTCTTTAATTTATAAAACATCAAAATAAGGCCAATAGAAAGCTCATATGATAACTATTAAACTCAGTGAAAGAAAAATCTGCTCAACAACGTTTTCTTAGGAAGAATGATAAAAACTGATAGACTTACCTGCAAGGAAGGTAATTCCGGAGCGAAAAATGCTCCTGGATTCTTCACCGTCGTATTACTGGCTAAGGAGCTGACAGAACCTTTTCCGGTAGGGTCGGCTCCATCCAATGAAAAGCTTACTTCTTTTTTATGTTTCAGTCTCTCAGAATCTGGAGAGCTATCCGATTTTCGGCGAGCATCTTCGTGCATTTTTGCGGGATAGCGTCGCCTGTTCTGGTCTACCTTTTTAATGATACAGATTGTGATGACAATACACGTGGCAAGAACAACAGTAACAGCCCCAAGGACGATGACAATTGTCAAATTTCGTCCGTCGTCCGGCCCCATTTTCCCAAATGCCACCCTTGTGCTGTTTCCGAGACTCATGTTAACAATAAGAAACGCAGGAGTGCTTTTTGACGGTTTTCCGTGGTCTTGAACCACAATAGACAGAGTATACGCTTTATTCCGTAAATGAACATTAGAATTTTTAATCAGCATTATTTCTCCCGATGTGTGATTTATCCGAAACAATCCAGTCGTTTCGGGAGTATTTTTCAGAAAATAAGACAACATGGCGTTGTCACCTTCATCGTCATCTTGGGCAATGACCCTTGCAATTGGTCGGTCTGTTGTCGTCATTTCAAACACGACGGAAATGGAATTGTTTGTATCTGATGGATAAATAATGTATGGGTAATTGTCATTAATGTCATCAACAAAAACCGTGACATTAGTTGATGAACTCATCGGCTTTTTTCCATGGTCGGCTGCGACAACCATAAAGTCGTATCTCTGACCCTTCATGCGACTCAATGTCGCTTTTGTTTTTAATATTCCGTCAGTGACCATAAAAAGTTGAGACGCCTCATAGTTTTTGGAAGTCCAGTATCTCAACCTTCCATTTTCACCATGGTCTAAATCTTGGGCATCGACACGCCCAATGAATGTAAAGGGTGCCTGTCCCTCTTTCACGTGGAATTCGTAATGTTTCTTTTTGAATGTCGGTGCTTCATCGTTAATATCAAGGATATTCAAGAGAACAGTGGCCGTGCCAGTTAGAGCTGGATTGCCAGAATCAACTGCCAGAACTCTGAACTCAATTTCAGAATTGCTTTCCCGGTCAAATTGCTTGTTAGCAGTAATGACGCCGGTCTGGTGATCGATGTTAAACCAGGACTTGCCATCTTCGTGAAGCATGTAGTGAATTTCGGAATTCATTCCTGTATCGTTATCTCTGGCTGTCACCTTAGTGACATATTCGAGAAAATTGTTGTTTTCTGTCATTGGAGTTTTGATGAATGACTGTTCAAACACGGGCGGATTGTCGTTTTCGTCAGTGACTAGAACTAAGAAGCTCTTCTCGTTATGGAGTTGTGGCGTGCCGTGATCATGACATTTGATCGTGACATTGTGAACAGAGGTCTTCTCAAAATCCAATGGTTTGGAAATGACCACTTTGTATTCTTTATAGAAAAACGTCTGAAGTGTGAAATGATGATCATTAATCGAACAGCTAACGTTTCCATTTTGCTCTTCGTCCGTATCTTTGATTGAAACGTGAGCAATTAACTTCCCAGTTGACGCAGATTCGGACACATTTGCTGCATAGCCAAGGGACAAAAGATTGATGATAATGTCCGGTTTATTGTCGTTAATATCGACTACATTGACGCTTACTTGAGCAGTGGCTGAACGAGGTCGAAGGCCATGATCAAAGCCAATAACTTTGAATAAATATTTCGGCCTTTCTTCATAATCTACCTTTTTATTCAGAATGATTTCGCCCGATGTTTCATTGATTTTGAAAATATCCTTAATATACTGTGGTGTTCTGTGATAAAGTTTGTAGCCAACTTGCCCATTCGGGCCTGAATCTGGATCGTGTGCTGTTAAAGTGAGCACAGTTGAAGAAACTGGCTGGTTTTCGTGGATGTAAACATTATAAGATTTTTTATTAAAACTCGGAGCGTTATCATTGACATCTATGACAGTTACGTTGACAACGACGTAACCACTTCGCTGCGGAATACCGCCATCCTTAGCCACGATATTTAGTTGATAAAAATCCTGCTCTTCATGATTGAGCTTACTTTTTAGAAGTAAGCCTTCCAGGTATCCATCTTGCTCAATCAAACTAAACTTATCCAAATCATTTAGAAGTGCGTAATATCTAACAGAATTGTTTCCACCCGTGTCCAAATCCCGAGCATCTTCGATTGTGAATAATGTGTTCACTGGAGTCGATTCAAGAATTTCCAGCGAAACTTCTTCTTTATCGAAGAACGGCGCATTATCGTTGATGTCGTCAACATGAATTTTAAGTTTTAGCATATCTAAAAAGCGTGGATCACTTTCTGACTGTACTGCGACGTTCATATTAAGAATACACAAGCCCCGATTCTTATCACCTTTACCCAAATTACTGTCACAGACATGTTCCCGATCAATAGGTACAGCAGTTGTTATAATGCCTGTCGTTTTTCCGATATGGAAAAGATCGGTGAATTGGTTGCCTTGAGTCAGAAAACGGAACCAGTAATCACCATTATTTGGACCAATGATGTCGTTAGCTACATTGCCAACGTAAGTATTGGCCTGCTGCTCTTCAAGCACATGATAATTCAACACACGCACCGCCAATGTCAAGTGATGTAAGCCCCAGAAGAAGAGGGAAAAGCGAATGAAATTTAAAGACATATTACAAAGTCGAGTGACAGATGGAGATTAAAATTGATTAGCAGAACAGAATGCTAAAAAGGAAATCTGTTTACTTGTAGCGTTGCACAAAGATGTCACTGCGTTCATGAACTTGACGTATGCTTTGATATCCATGGGTCAACGTATCTGCTGGTCAATGTTGGTGAGGAAATAGACTCTGAAAAGACAGAAGAAAGAATTTTGACATGTGATGTCTTTTGGCAAATTGTCTTTATCCAAGACTGAAAAGTCTTTTTTTATCGAGTCTATTTTTGCATAAATAACAATGAAATTATTAAGTACAATTAATTGTTCTTTGTAACATTATTGTTTTTTGTTAAAATCTACTTTTGAAAATTTAATTTACATTTGCAACACTAGAAAAATAATAAGCAAAATACGAAAAGATTTTCATACTGGCACACAATTTCTTATCTGAAATCTTTCAATTTTTCGAATTTCAGTATGTTAGTACATGGCGCATAACGTAGACAAGAGAATCTGCAGTTGTTTTTTTTCTCACTATTTTTACTTATCAAAAGAGTAAAAGACTATTCTTTATCCAATCTACGCTGTTTACTCATAGACGAAGACTTACGATATAAGGAAAGCTGCGATAAAAAGCAATGCAAAGATTTAAGATGAAAGAAAAATACAAGTAAAAAATTGATAATAGTGATCAATTATGGAAGTTCGTCACTGAACAGCAAGTCGATAACAGTAAGTCGTTATCCTCAATGCTTCAGTTGACTGGCTTAAATTACGAAGACATTTAATCTTCTTCAGTTTAGGTTTAAAAATTACAAATTATCATACTAGAAAAACATCTAGGCGTTTATAAAAAAAATATTAGCGTACCTTCGATATCGCTGATGACGAAAAGGGGAAGATACAAGTATCGTTTTGTTAAACTGGTAAAGGTTTTTTTCTAACTAGCAGCATGGCTCGGCGTTGCCCGTGCTTGATTAAAAAATCGTACGACTCATACAACAATCGCTATCACTTGACAAAATATTTTTTCCCTTCCTTGCCTTTAAAGGAGTGCCCTTTGCCATGCTGATGTTGCTACATGCCTTACTTCTTGCCTATCTCATACTGCAAATTTTTTCTAAGCTCTATACTAAACATTAAATCTGTTACGAACAAAGAACTAAACAAAATGAACACAAACGATCAGCTTTAAAAAAGAACTTGTAACTGGAAAAACCGAATGAAAAAAGAATGATAACAACAAATACTTTTTCACGCCCAACCCAGTTCTGCGGAATCAGAATCAACGTTGAGTTTAAGCAAGCGAATGAGCCAATTGGAGTAAAGTGCCATGCAGATTTAAATTTTTCCCACTTGTGACGAATGCAGCTATCGATTTTTTTTTGCATGCTAGCATGCTAGTTAACATTCGTGTCAGTCAGCGGTTGGCTCTCACGCTGGCCAATAGAATCTTCCTGCCTATTCGTGGCAGCCAGCTATAGGCTCTCACTCTGGCCAGTACAAAATGGCCGCAAACTATATGAAAACTGCCGTAGAAGCATGAAAAAATCGATTATTTCCACTATCGATGGGAGTTGGGAAATGCAAGGTCGGTGTTGGCCTTCCCGCTAACTTGGAGCATGTGCATGTAAACTTTGGTGCAAATCCGTCGAAAATTGCGGCCGTGCATTCGTTACACACACACACACACACACACACACACACACACACACACACACACACACACACACACACACACACACAGACACATCCTGCCTTTTATAGATAGAGATATACATTTTTTTCTTCAACCAGGTTCGAGAGTAAAAATTGTAAAACAATCTTTTTTCGGTCACTAAATTATTAAGGATGCTGTTTTAGAAGTAGCAAAATGAAGTCATGAATTATCTTATTTACATAGAATGAAAACACAATATAATGCTTTCGACACTAAAATTAATCTGAAATTAACAGGAATCTCTCCTTGCTCTAACTTCTGACCCTCTCTTTTCTGTCTCTCTCTGTCACTCTCTTTTTTTCTTTCTCTCTCTCTCACGAGGCAAAAGAGTTATTTATCTCTTTTTTGTTATATGGATTCATCTTTGAACAGTAACAATCACCGATTGTAACCGTTTCGGTTTTATAATGTATGACGCATTACATCTCACTGATTTTTAAAACTGACATTCGTATGCCAAGGAACTGTTCATTACATAAGATTTGTAAATATTTTCATTCTTTTATATTTTTCCAAACTTTTGTGTTTTTTAAAATTAGGTTAACTATCGGAATAAAAAAAAATTAGCAAGAGAAAATAAGAAAATGATTATAAACGTGAATTCAAGTAATGTGAAAATAAAACTGCAGACAAGCATTTTCAAACCAATTTTTACTTAATGAACCAAAAACCATGAAGTTTCCTTGTAATGTAGAGATGGAACATTTTAACTTGAGAACAAAGACATTATTGAAAATGAAGATTGATGGGGTTTCCCTCTAATCCTTAATTTGTTGGAATTCATTTCTGGAGTTCATTAACCTTCTGGATATTTCTAGAACTAAGAAAATTTGCCTAGAATTATAATCTGACAGTTTTGAACAACATATAGATGTGAACAGCTATGAAACTGATTAAAAACTAAATGACTTACTAAATTTAAAAAATTCTTTGCTGCTCTCGGTAATTCCAAACGCTAAAATGTGCGTGAAATCAAAACAAACTCAGATATCATTAAGAGAATTAATGCTCGTTTAACTTTATATTAAATCAATAAATTATATAAAAATCCTAAATATATAAATATTTTACAAGATCTGTATCTGAACTAATGACATTGGCGTATAGAATGTAAAAGGTTGACCACTTCTGATTTTTATTTTTATTTTGTTTGTATGTACTACAATCTTTAATTAATCTTTTATCTATTAATCTTTTATTACTAGGATAAGAGTGTATTATCTGTTGGATCCCTGGCCCTTTTGAGCTGGAATCATTTTGATCGAGAAACCTACACAAATATAAAGGAGGAAGAATTGGTAAAAGCGAAGGAAGAAAACGGGTAAAAGATGGCGTGAAAGAGGAAATGTACGAAATAAGAAACCTAGGAAAAAAATGAAAAGAAAACCAAATGATAAGGAACTTATGTTTATATATATATATATATATATATATATATATATATATATATATATGCAGGGTCACGTGCCCTCCCCACCGAATCTTTGATAAGGGGCCCCCACTCTATTACATTTCAGTTTTCATAAGGTAGAATTCATATAAAATACAAATTTTATTGTCAGTTAATAATGTACAATAATGGATCATATACTATATAGGTGAACAATTCAACTAAAAAACTAAAAATAAACACAATGCATCTAAATACAAATTAGAGACATGTCATAATAGATCATTCCATCTGAAATAAATCAATGTTTTGAGGCAATTTAGATTTTAATTGTTAAAAAGTTGGATAATTTTAACAGATTCAACATTATGGATAAAAAAATAGTGAAAGTTAGTGGTTTTTCGCGACTTAGCATGACCAAAACAAATTCTTAGTTTAATTTGTACTGTATATAGATGTAGGTAGAAAAAAGTAAATGTTGATAAAACACTGCCCTGAGTCCACAATCATGCTTCCACCTAGGTTGGGAGGCTTGGGGTAGTATCTGTATATATATATATATATATATATATATATATATATATATATATATATATATTTTTTTTTCAGAATGATGTTCAAACAAACTACGAAAGATCTTGATGATGGAGACGGAGTATACATCAGATACCGTCTGGATGGTGGCATGTTTAATCTACGACGATTAAAAGCCCCACGCAAAGACCCTAGAGCAACTTATCCGAGACCTCTGCTTTCGGCGACGCTGCTGCCCTTTTTCCCACTGAAAGAGCTTTGCAGTGCACCACTTTCTGCTTCACTGAGGCTACCAAACTTTTTTGGCTTGAAGTCAATTTAAAGAAGACAGAGGTACTCTACAGCTTGCGCCTCGGGATGAGTACCACCTTCATCACATCATCATTGGCGCGACTGGGCTGAAGGCAGTCTATCGGTTTACCTACATAGGATGTACCATCACGTCAGATGCTGGGATCGACAACAGTCTGGCAAGGGCGAACATTGCATTGCATATATATATATATATATATATATATATATATATATATATATATATATATGTGTGTGTGTGTGTGTGTAATAGAATTTGGGGATTTAGACAAATCTTTATAATAATTCATCGAATCTAGAATAATCCACAATAGAATGCAGAAAGCACTGGACGGCCGTTTCGTCCTATTTTGGGACTCATCAGCAGTGGGGGAAAGGAAAGACGTGGATCTTGGGGCACAATCCATTGGGTTATGAATACTTGGATGAGTATCCCTACGGCGCTATATCGTGCTTTATGCATTCTGTTGAGGATTCTTCTAGACTCGATAAATTATTATAATGATATATATATGCAAATCATAGAAACCAATAACACCTACCAAAATACGTAAAATTACAAGAATTTAACGTATTTCAATCCGTATAGAATTTTTGTCAAGAAAGTGTTCAATGGATAATTAGAGAGAGAGAATAGCCAATAAATTAATAAATCACTATCTTTCAAATTACTTCAGAGTATCGCGTACACGCTGCACGTCAGGTTCAGATAAATATATTTCAATGAGTGGTCCGTTCGCGAAACTTTGAAGTCGGTCGAAATGTAAGTCATTTGAAAATGTTATTAATTTATTGACTATATATATATATATATATATATATATATATATATATATATATATATATATATGTGTGTGTGTGTGTGGACAGAGATGTTATATCTTATTATATTTATATACGTTCAATTTTGGATGCTAAGCCCTTTTATCCCATAGATATAGTATACATTACCACACAGACACACATACATACATCCACATATATATATATATTAATTAACAAGATCGCTAAACATAAGGCTTCAAAACAAACTGACAAGGAAACATGCACAGCACT